AGGTGGCATTAACTTCTTCGAAATCTATATGAATAATATACATAATTTATTTTCGGATACAAAATGATTATTTTTGAATTAAAAAAAAAAAAAATTTAGCAGTATTAACAACTACTTATAACGGTTAGAAAACATGTTTTTGGCAGCTTCAAGTAGTCTGATTTATTATACAAAAAACAAAAACACAAATATCGATAAGCTTAAAAAATGCATAATTTTTGAATTTATTTAAATTTTATTAGGTTTAATATTTGTTGTTTAATTCTCTTAAAAACATTTTTATAAAGTTGGACTTTAGTATTTTTTTTTTAATATAAGAAATCTGTATATGTTTTTCTATCGATGCAGTTATTTTTACAAAAAAATATGGTAACTTTTTTTACATTTGTATTATGAAAAAAATATGTTAAAAAAGGAATATTCTACTTCCTAAGTGGAAATTTAAAATTCTAACGTTTTTACGTTGCTTACAAATTAAATTCAATTCGGTAAAATAAGAAATTTATATATATAATATCGCTAAATAAATATTTGTTAATAATAGCTATATATGTATGTAGTACTGTTAAAAGCACTAAAAAATTCTTTCAAACTACAATCGCTTTCATTTCTGAAATTAAAAAATCTAAATAAATTTTTTTTCAAATGTCTAAAATCTATATAAAATAACTGATTACTAACCAAAGCTAAGAGTAAATTTTTATGCACTAGTGCGCCAATGGTCGAAATATTTATGAAATGTGTTAAAAATTAGGCAGTATACAATTCTAAATGAAGTTAATGGTTTGCAAAGTTTTTCAAATATGTTAACATTAATTTGACGCATGGAGTCTTAAGAAAACAACGATGAGGTTTAAAGTAAGTATAAGAATGAAATATGTATAACTTTAAAATATTTATAAAAGGTATTAAAGTTCCTTACTTTGGTTAAGGTGGTATTCCAGTCTAAAAATTTTACATATCGATTTTTTTCATATTTCAATAATTTATATATACAAAAATATCTCCCTTGAAATATTAATATTTTTTAAATATCTCTCTATCATAAAAATCAATGAAAGCTACAAAATTTTTGGTTTGTAATATTTAAAAAAAAAACAAAAAAGTTAAAAAGTCAGTGAAAAATTAATCTTTTATGGTTGAGTGGAGTTCTGTTGTTATTGTTTGATTTTTAAGATAATTGTAAGGGTAGAAATCGTCACGACGAGGACGCGTTGAGAAGGCTACTTTAAGCATATATAACTTTAAGAAAATGTTTCGTTTTTTATATTTAATTTTTGTACTCTTGAAATAAATAAAAAACGTATAGTAATATTTTCACTATTATATTTTTTATATTTTTATCAATAGGCTAGAGTATTCTTTTAAACAAACAAATAAATATAACATTCTCTCTAAAAATTAAATTAGTGCTGACCCCAAGCGTCTCATAAGGGGTTAATATTTTTGATCAACATACAAGTATAGTGTATAGCATGTATTTGTGATGATAGTGAAATGATGATATGAAAAATATAGTAGATTTAATTTTGAAATAGTGCAAACAGATTTTTTAATAAGTAAACAAAAAATAGCAGTAAAACACGATGCAAACAACTGCGAAATGTCTGAATATAAATTGCTTAACACAAATGCATAACTGACAATAAAATAATGACTAATGATTACTTTTTTAAAAAATGACGAAAGAAAAACTATTAATAAACAAGCATGCATTACCAATTAATTTCATTGCAGCTTTACTACAGCTTAAGCTTCTGTTTCAAATTAGACTATTAGCTTATGTTTGTGAGTGTATTTACAAATTAAATTTAATATGTTTTTAATAATAATAAGTATATAAAAAGAAAATACCTTCGTTGTGCAAAAACAGCATTCAAATTCCACAGGTACATCCTGCTCCAGATTATCCATTCTTTGGTTTTGCAAATTCTCGAGTGCCACCTGACGTCGCAGCTCGGCCACTTCCTATAAAATTGTGAATAACGATTTGTTTTTGTCTTTCTCTTTCACTGCACTTAATTATAGTTTTTTGCTAATATTTTATGTTTGTTGTTTTTTGTTTTGGTTATTTTGTTGGAATAGTTGGACTCAGTTACAAGTGATGGGATAATAGTTGATGGCTAGTCAAAATTTTTTTTCTTTTGATATTGGATGTGGAATGTTGGGATGTGGTATGGATTTTGTAGTTGTGGCAAGGGATTAAGGCTGTATTTGTGGGTGATAGGATTTGGGGTTAGAGTGGAAAATTACAAATCTCAAGTGTTGAAGAAAACAGAAACGCTAAAGTAGTCAGCTATTTGCATGCCAAGCAGCAGCTCAAATATTTAGAGAGTGAACTTAAATGCATAAAATTGTGCTAGCGAGAGAGAGAGAGAGATGGAGATATGTTGCGTGCAAAGATATTTACAAGTAAATATATAGTAAGTATATAAGAAAAGTGTTAGTATTGCAAGCGGTGTTATCACATTTCTGGCATTTTAATCGGCTTTTACTAGCAGACCGACGGCAAGTGGTGACTAGAAAGTGGCTGAGTGCTGGCAACGCGTCATTATATGCATACATACTTACACTACTGGCTGTGTATGAGCACACGTGATTAGTAATAAAGTGTGACAGTGCTTGTACGTTAAAGTGTGCGAAGTGAAGCGTTTGAAGGGGTTATGTTAAGAAAGTACACACATATTAATTTAAAGCAGCGGTGCGAATACATACATACATATTATGGTTAATTAATAGTTAAAGAAAATTGTTAATTAACATATTGTATATTATAATTAACGGTAAATAGTAGCTTTGTGTGAGTATTATATATTGCTGTATTAATAATATGTGTGCAAATTTAGCATATTTTATAAGAGTATTAAAATATACTTTAAAATGCATGTGTAGGTTTATATTATATATGTATATGTGTACAATAATTTGTATTCATAATGAGGAAAACTACGCAATTTCTAAAATTTGAAATTGAAAATTCAGTGCAAAAAAGTTAATTTTTTGTTTTCGAAACTCGATCTTGAAAATAATGCAGGCTGAAAAGTTCGTACAGTTTCTATGACAGTGTGTCACTAGCATTGTTTCATGGTTAGAACTAGCCTTCAAAATATTTTACAGATGCATGTTTGAGTATTTGGAAAATAATTTCGTGTGTGAAAAAATTAGCTGATACTAAAAGTGGTTACAGGTGAATCGAGCTCTGTGTCATGTGAAGACATTTGAATAGTTTGTAAATTCGTAGAAAACAGATGAAAATAATAAAATAACCCAATATTTTTGAAGGATCCTAAAGGTTTTAATTGATGTTGATCGGTCAGTTTGTATGGCAGATAGTTAAGATTCTATCGTTGAAATTATCCATGCAAATTTCGTGAAGATATCTCGAATAAAAATTTCATCAATCAGTTTGTATGACAACTATAGCTATAGTGCACTGATTTGAAGAATTTGTTTGAAAATTGTACGCCGATGAACAAATGTCTCAATCGGGTTTCAAAAGCAACCATATTCTTCGGACCTATACTGAAAGGAAATCAAAATTTTACTACCCTCTCCTTCAAATTCTTAAAAATCTTCATATATTACCCCTACATTTTCTGCAAAGAAACAGATATTAACAATCAAAGGATAGATATCACATATGGCAGTTAAGTTGAAGATATGGGTTCGATATACTCCCATATTGACTAATCAGATCAGTCTCATATCTCTCTTAATTTCAATTATACATTACAAAGTAATAATAATTAGGGTTAAACTGACTTTTAAGTGTTTTTGGATAGATACGTTTGATTTAACTTTTCCAGCTGCTACTCTTAACATATCAGGCGTTATGCATTAATGTGGATTTATATTGGTCAAATGGTTTGTATGGAAATTGTACGTCTATAGAGATAATATTATATAATCTATATCACACTTTTAGTAATTTCAAATAACACGTTAAAGACAATATGGTGTATCCGATTTTTACGCATCCATCTGATATGGTTCTAGGTCTCATCCTAGTTCTTCAAACAAATATTCTTTTCAAAGGTTATAAGTTAAAGACAGCTTTATATATGAAAATGAAAAGCATGATTAAGTTTCAAGTTGTTAAAATAATTGGCATTATAAAAATTCTTGACTTAATCTTCAAGAACGTAAGAAGAGTTAGGAAACGATAAATAACGCTAACTCAAACAATTTATTTCAACAAGTCTAATTAAGTCGAGTTTCCGCTTATCTTTCCGTTAGTGGAATTTGTTCATATTGCAGGCACGAAACTGAGACGTCTAAAGCGCTCTCCACATCCGCTTTTAGCCATTATTTATACGCCTATGCTATACATAGGTATGAGTGATGTTCTATATACGAGATGTATGTATGTTTTAGTCACATGTTTTATGCAGACGCGTAAGGAGGCTGACATTCAAGTACTTCAGCAGAAATGGCAAAATCTTCAACTTAGTGGTTGTATTAGTGAGAAAATAGACCAGTAGTGCGTGAAACATATATCGGATATACATATGACTAAAAAATTTGACTAGTTTTACTAAAAAGAAATACTGTATTTAGAATCAAATTAGATGCAAAAGGTTAATGGTTCAAGGGTTGATTGAGAGTCTTTTGCAAGATAAAGGTATTGATCGAAGAGGAGACGATAAAAGTTTTAGAGGGTATGTATATTTTTTTTTAACCGAATAGTTAGAATTTGATTTTAAGTAAATGTTTAATTTAAGGTCGGTTTTTCTAAGGATTGATCGGTAGGATGTATCTATGACTTAAAAAATATGTGTTGGCTTCCGCTTCCACTTCCGCTTCTGTAAATTTAAATTTTTACAATTCTTATTTGTTTTGAATATGAACTAGTCTATGTTCTTGAAATTCTGCTAGTCTTAATCCGAAACTCTACTGCGGTTAGCAACTCAATTATACATACTATAAGTGTATTAGTAGGTTTATATATACGAACGCGGCACGGAAAATCACCCAAGGCGCAGCATCCGCAATTGTTTCATTTGTTGCTTTGTGCAACATTTTCATTGCACGATTGCAATTGCGTACATGTGTGTTAGCAAATTCCTCAGCACTTTTGCTTGAAAAATTTTACATCTTTGTTCTCAAGCACACATTGAACGCATAAACGTATGTATATTAGGGTGTTCCTAAGTTGATTTTTTTTATAAATGGCGCCTAAAGTTTCAGATTTTGCCTTAAAGAAAAGGATACAACGTAAAAAACCCCTGTATTTTTAATTTAGACCCCGCCTGAATCATTTTGCTTATCCCATATATTTTTTCTTATGCAATTTTTTGATCTTAGTAGAAGAGAAATATTAAATATTTGGAAAAAGTAAATCATTTAGGGACGGCATTTAAATGAAAATAAAGAGCTAGTTTACGTTGGCTATTTTTTTTCGGGGCAAAAGCTGAAACTTCAGGGGAAATAACGACACCCTAATATATATGGACTATATTGCTTGTGAAAATCATTCATCCGTGTGCAAGAATTTGTGCGAGTTTAAGACTGTGCGGCGAAATACGTAGACTTATCTCTTAAGCTTCCGTTTACATTATTTAAGCGCTTAAAATTTTATATTAATAGCTTTTATATTAAAAGCCACTAGCGGCTTACTTTTTATGCCAAATAAAATTTAATATTCGCTGAAACTTTATTTTCTTAAATTTGTGTTTTATATTATTAACGTTATGCTTCGACGAGATTTAATGCAGATTTATCAAGTGAAATCTTCAGAGGCTATAGCTTTAATATGATATTGACAACAACAACAATTTTGAATGAAAAAACCAGAATTTGATTATGGTTACTCAATAGAATAATTAAAATTGAGTGGAAATGTCATGTAAAATATGCAAATACTAAAGTTCAAAATAAAAAGCCTACGACGCCTACAATGATACGTGACTCCATAATAATTGTGGTAGAAATTGATAATATACATATACTAGTTTCTGAAAGCAGACAAGTATAACTTGAACAAAGAGCTGTGCTGTGTAGTAACATTTACTCACGTTGTTGAAAATCTGTACAAAAAATCTGCCC